ATAATAACTCAAGTAAGAAAAAAGTATAATAATTAATTATTGTAGATATTACAACTGCGCTCTATATTTTAATGTACTATTAAAATATAGAGAGACAAAAAAGATTGTCACTGAAAAGAAATAACGCATTTTTTATCGCCAGATCAACCATACACCATAAACACTGTGTCAAAATTACACGCGGTGAAATAAAAAAATATACACGCGAGGTATAATGGAAAATAATTCTATTTAAAAGCATATTGTTTTAATATTCAAAAATATTTCTCTCGGCAGTCATTCAGACATTCAACAAGTTGATTCAGAATACGTCGAGCGACCGACCCAATTTATAAAATCAAAATACCTCTCACGTTTCCTGCAACGTGTCATCTTTTTATTAGTTTCGAGACGTCGCGCAGGCATAAATTAGTTCCACTTAAGAAAAGGGCCATTCGGCAGGGGCGTCCCCCTGTTCGGGGAATATTTGCATGTAGCCCGTTCGGTCATCATAAATTCTTCGACTTCACGTGGGGTTAATCCTAGAATCGTGAATGTCGGCACGAACTTTGCTCGTTCCCGAGGATTACGCAAGATGAGCCGCCCCGGCTATAGGTGGTTTCAGGAAAGCCGCCGATCGCCGCCTAAGAAAAAAAAGAAGCAATCATGTACATACGTTAATCAACCGAGGAAGATGAATCGTTCGCCTTCTGCGTTCTCTCAGCCCCCCGGAATTTCCGCGTGGGAACTCGTCCAAGGAATTCACGAATTCACTCTATTGTTCCCACATCTCTCACGAGATTGAGGACCTCCGAAGTATTCGTTTTTGTTTCGTCTTTCATTTTCTATATTTATTATTCGAATAGCATTCCTACCTCGATATTTTTATTGACGAAAAATCAACATTACAAAAAATTTGATCAAAAAGTTTAAATTTCAAAGTGATTTTGTCTTTCATTGTCTATCAAAAGTAAGTACGCATTTTTTTAATTTTATTATCAGGAATTTTTACATGTAAAAAAATTTATGGTTAATGTGAAATAAAAATGTGTTGATCGTTTAAAACGTTGACCATTTTACGAAACAATATAATTCTATTCATTAGAAAATCGAGAAAAAAAGACAAGTATTTTATAAATTTTCTATATTTATATGCCAAAAAAGTTTAATTTCTTGAAATCACTGTTAAATCACTTTTGCGAGCATGTTCTTATCGTCCTGCTGAAAATTTTTAGACAACTCTCAATTTATAAAATAAATTCTGAGAAAAAAGTAGGATGCAAATCGCAATGCCACGAATTTCTTTCACAACGAAAACTGATAACAGTGCGTGTTCAATGAGGTCCAGCCGTTATCCACAGTCGAGACCGGCACACGACTTCCGCGCGACGGAAGCGGCATGAAAGGGTCCGTAGGAAACGGAAAGAGCACGGAGAAAGAGTATCCTGATCTCTCTCTTTTTCTCTTGCAGGCAGGACGAGAGGACATTGCGATCGCGGTCAGCGGGCAGCGCGGTGACGGTGACGGTTTTCAAGTTTTAATCCGCGCGAGAGGGCGAGAGGCCTAAGCCGAAAAGCCCGCAGCCGCGGACGTCATCACGGCCGCTTCGTGCCCGTCCAGCCGCTCCTCCAGATTACATTAATTCGATTAATGGATGCCGTCCACCGTCGGTGGTGGCCGCGCGGCGCGTACGCTGGATTTCTCCCCGGCCCGCTCGTTCTCGCTTGTCCGCCCCGAGCTTCGGTGGAAGACATACAATTCGTGATCGAGATGGTCACCGAGATGTGTGAAAGATATAACCGGTCGCGAGACGCCCGAGAGAAACGCAAACTCGATTACATTTGCTAATGTATTAATGGACAAATTGATACATTCATCAATTTGATAATTTTACATTTCTACACGGAAATAAAACGATTTTGCTGAAAGGTCTAAGAATTTTGCTAGATATACAGATCTGAAAATAATTCTTGTTGGATCATCAAAATAACTTTATTGAAAAGTCAAACTGACTGCTGAAAATATCAAAACTTAAATGCTTCTCATTTTTGAATTTCCAACAAAATTATTTTTAGATCCAAATTTTTTGACCATCCAGCAAAATCGTTCTTTCCTTGTAGTAGAAAACAGAATAATAATGATTTTAATACCAGCTACTATCTATAACACGATCTGAGGAGAAATAAAAAATAGGTTTCCATATCGACAAAAAGACTTGTTAAAATTACAATATTCGGAGTCACCCTGTAGAGTAATATATACTCTAAGGATTGGAACTCTCATTCCATCGCGAGTAATGAATAGTTGATAATAACGATGGTAATCTCCGGCTTCGCAAAAATCCGTTAGTCCATTAGTCCGGAGAAATGAATAATTGATCGAGAGATCGTACTGCGACCCGAAAACAGCATTCGTCGTTTTTACAAGGAATATAACGTCGCGTCGATATCGCTATTTTCGAATCGGCAACCTATATACCATACGATTTACGTATGTTGCTCAACGACACGGACGATTAGAGCGAAAAATATTGCATGAAGTTTTATGCGCGTATTTATACCGCGTGATTTGTACAAATGGCTGGTGCAAAATCGGCTGTAAAAAAACTATATAATCTATACGTGTAATTTTGTATCGCGTCGCGTGTCTTCGTACACGGTGCTACATAGTCCGCGATAAATATCGTAGAGGAACAAACGTAAATAACGCTTCTCTCATTTCCTGGTATTCTTCCGCATTTCATATAGCGTAGCGCGGTAAGAATGTGCACGAGTACTCGTAAAGCGCGAGTCGAGTCGAAACCGGGTTTTCAATTTAAAAAATCACTAATATCTCCACATGAATGTCCGTTACTTGTTTTGGTCCAGTTTCAACATTTATGTATATGGCATATATTAGCGAAGAAAATAGTTTGCACAACAGAAATAGGTCGCTTTTACTTATAAAGATACTAAATGCGTCGCGTTTTTTTTTTGCGGAATAATTGCGTACGGTATTTCGACCGGTTGCGGTATCTTTTTCCACGACTTACTTATTGCAAATGACAATGTGGCTCGAGAGGAAATCATTCAAGCATTGTGATCGAAAATGCGAATGAGATTCCTCTGTGGCACGTCATATTATTAAGCGTTATTATTTCAGTCGCCAAGTATTCCTTTGCGTGCGAGGATGCTCTCTCGTGTACGTCCTAAATAGCCTCTTTTCCCCTTCCCCCTCTCTCCCGATTTTCGACGTTGAATGCGGAGGCGAAAGGCCGTCGAAAGAAGAGCGCGTTTTAACGCGACGAGGTAGCGCCCTGTGAAAAGCATTCCAGCCACCACCTGCGTCCGATGCGCCGTAATTATGTTTCTTGTGCGCCCGCTTCTGGTAGGTACGGAGCGTTTGGATATTTTGCCTGCCGGAGAACGGTCTTTTGGCGCGTAAACGCCTTCTGTCAGACTGCAAGGCGCCTTTAAACTGCAGCCGGCCCTTCGTTTTCACGCGCCTTTAATCTTGCGTGAGTACGTGTCGCGCTATCGCGCTTGTACAAGTCGGCACTTTGGACCACGCACTTTTTTTTTCAGAAACGCGTATTTAGCATATATTTAGGTATGCACGATTTTTTTAAAGATTTAGATTTGCCTCGATTATTTCTCGTTGAAAATAAAGGCGATCTTTTTTGAAAGTTTTAAGAAATAATTGAGCGGCGGTCGATTCCTTGAATGAACATGTCCCATTGATGAACAACGTTCGATTGCTTCATCGATGCTTCGCTCGCATCTACCTTGATTACACGGAAAGAACGATTTTGTTGAAAGGTATACAAATTTTGTTGAATACAGATCTGAAAATAATTTTTGTTCAATAATCAAAATAATTTGTTGGAAAGGTAAAAATAATAGGCATTGCTATAAAACGTTTTGATATTCTAGCAATCATTTTGACTTTCCAATAAAATTATTTTGATTATTGAACAAAATTTATTTTTTTATCTGGATCCAGCAAAATTGTTCTTTTCGTGTAGGGAAAATATGTGTCATTCTTGCGCTCAAGTTATATATCTATTAAAACTGTAATAATCAATTGAATGCATATATATATATATATATATATATACAGTTTTAAAAGATGTATAACTTGAGCGCAAGAATGACACACATACACACACACACACACACACACATATATATATATATATATATATATATATATATATGTATAATATGCTTGAGACTTGAAGATTAAAACATTGTAGACAAGAAAACGTGGATCGACCTTTAATAAATGTTCTTGCTACTTATTACAGGAACACGTAACTTAAAAGCACTCGAACGTTTCAACGTCTAATTTTAACAGGTAGAAAAAATGTGCCGGCGATAAAATCACGACTATTTTTTCCAAACGACTCACAACTCACACTATGCGAAAGCACAATGTCTAACAGTAAGCTAAACACGTTAGCTATAATTAAATATCGATTGCTTCCGTCTGGCGATCGTTGATTAAGAAATACCGCGCGCACGGCGACGCTGATCAATCGATTAGGTCTACATTAAATTATATATCGATCTTGCACGCGAGATCTCGCGACAGCGGCGTTCCAGCGGCGTTACGACGAGCGCGAGTTCTCGGATTTCTCGTGATCTCGAAAAAAAAAGGAAAAAAAAAACGCTGGATCGGATTCGATCCAGCTCGATCAAATCTCGCGGTATCTGGTTCACGTTCCGCGCGTGCGAACAAGCTGCGCTTGCATAATCGCGATTCTCGGATTCCTGACCTCCCGCGTATCCCCGCATTTTTTTTTAATACTCCTTTATTTTCTCCCTCCCTCCCCCCTTCCCTGCCGATAAGCGCGATGGTCTCGACTAGATATGCAATTGCCGGTGGCGATAAATCGCCGTTACAGCGATAACGACGTTGAACATCGCGAACGCACCGAGAGTTCCCGATAACGCGCGCAAAATAATTTGATTACCTGTAACAGTGACGACAAACAGTTTTCCAGATAGTCTCCCGATGATCTCTAACGTGCGGTCGTGTGTTTTCAGTTTCTGTAGGTCGAAGATCGCGGAAACAGGCAGATCCGACGTGAGATTGTCGCAGGTTGATCCTAAGGTCTGCCGAACGGGTTACTGCAACACCGTAGGCCAGCAGCGAATTCGGTAAGTACTTAATACATTAAGATATACATTTTGTTACACGGGAAGAACAATTTTATTGAAAGGTCTAAAAATTTTGCTGAAAACAGACACCTGGAAATAATTTTTTGTCGAATCATCAAAATAATTTGTTGGAATATTAAAACTGATAAGCATTGCTATAAAACGTTTTGATATTCCAGCAATCATATTTTGACTTTCGCACCAAATTATTTTGATCATTGAACAAAAATTATTTTCAGATCTGGATTCAGCAAAATTATTCTTTCCGTGTTATAATATACAGATGCGCTGAAAAAATGCGAGAGAAGAGGAATCATATCAAAGAACTCATATTCCGCGGATATTCCGCGGAATTTAGCCGTGTTCAAAAAAATATGTTGTGCACGGAAAGAACGATTTTGGTGAAAGGTCTAAAAATTTTGCTAAAAACAGATCTGAAAATAATTTTTTGTTGAATTATCAAAATAATTTGTTGGAATGTTAAAACTGATAAGCATTGCTATAAAACGTTTTGATATTCTAGCAATCATTTTGACTTTCGCACAAAATTATTTTGATTATTGAACAAAAATTATTTTCAGATCTAGATTCAGCAAAATTGTTTTTTCCGTGTGCAAATTCCGTCTCGTCTTTTTGCAATTATAAGAACTACAAGTTAGACCGTAATACTACTGACGCATAGCACTTGTTTCCTTGTTATAATACATTGACAATGTTGACCTCCTTTAAATGTGTCTCCTTTAGACTTTGAAAGCGTTATTTCTATTCGCGAATTAATTTACATTTGTTTCTCGGCCGCCTTGCACATTACACTTATCGAAGACCAATGAATGTGATGAGAATGAACACTACACAAAACTAGAGTTTTATATGTGTGATACATATGTTAATGTTAATGTCGTTGTACGTGCCTACATTATTCTAATCTACTAATTTCCATCGATTTGATAATCATTTATTATAATTCACCAGCTGTTATGTTATTATAATTTCCATTCAAAACAGTCAAGTATTACAATTTTTAAATCAACTGCCTTTTCGAAAACCTGCAATTCTTGTTTGTGTCACGCTCGGCTTTTCGAACACTCTGAATCGAAAATTTAACTCCCGAAGATTTCTGTTGTAAATATCGAATCGAGAATTCCGCCTATGAAGTCTACAAGATGAATGAGGCTTAAAACTTAAGATTTCAAAATCAATCATAACTGATATACAATGTCAATATGTAATGTCGTTGTACGTACATATGTACATTATTCTAATTTACTAATTTCCATCGCTTTAATAATCAGTTATTATAATTCACCAGCTGTTATATTATTATAATTCATTAATTTCCATTCAAAACAGTCAAGCATTACAATTTTTAAATCAACTGCCTTTTCGGAAACTTGCAATTCTTTGTTTGTGTCACTCTCGGCTTTTCGAACACTTTAAATCGAGGATTTAACTCCCGAAGATTTCTAGTATCTAAATATCGGATCGAGACTTCCTATGAAACGGCGTCTACAAGATGAATGAGAATTAAGACTTAAGATTTCAGAAAATTGATCAATCATAATCGATGATTCTTCTCACGTGAAGAGGATAAATTTAATTTGCGATTGGTCAATTTTTTTTAAATCTCAAGTCTCACTGTACAGACGCCGCCTAATCAAGTCGACTTTCGCAGATATGGTCGCTTTTCTGGACTCGGAGATTGAGCCGACGTTGATGAACGTCGGCGTTGGTCTCACGCCGACGGACAACAACCGTAGCAACGATGACAGGCTGACGAGCGACATTGGGAGAATCAGGGACCAAGCTTTCACTACGCCCCGCGTAACGATGCCGAACGGCAGGGACGGCTATGCGCTGAAATTCGACGGCATCAGTGACAAGAAGCTGAGCGTGGACATCAATCCGGAGCCCGACTTCGTGAAGAAAGTCGCCGGTAAGAGAAGAGATTCGCGAAGAGATTCACCCGCGCGGTAGCTTAGCGCGCGCGCGCGATCCTCGCGCATGACTATGCTTATATGCGGATAAATGCTAATCCCGAAAGTCTCGCGTGACGTTAATGAGGAAAGATAAAAGTCGTCGGGAAGAATATGCATGGCAAAGTCGTTCGGATTGGACGGCATAAATTATTACATCTTTGCGGTACGTGAATTCTTACGTCACTAACGGTATCGATCGGTTTCGATCGCCGCGAATGGAGATAAGAATTGCATCCGCCTATACGGCATTGAAGTTTGAATTTATTTGAATAGGATTAAAAATAAAGTTTTCCTCGTTTTCAATTTTTCCCGTGAAACATTTACGCTCCAGAACGCTTTTTCCTTGACACTCAGACATACAATTAGCCTAATAGGAAATGCAAAAAAATGAATATAAGTTTAGCGTAAAAATAGATAATGAAATAATACAATTTTGTTGCGAGACCGATAGTTTTCCGTGCACTTTGCTTACCGACTTTTACAACATGACGCAGTTGGTATTCCTATTCTTATCTACACGCTGTTGCGTTTAAAAATTGAGCCATAAAAGTAATAATTAATCATCAAATTAGACTACGGCCTTCGGACTAAAAAATAAAAATTTCGTGCACTTTCGAAACTTGGAAAATTACTTATCGCGCGACTTTCGCAACAAGACGACATTGTCGCAGTTGCTACTTCCATCCTTATCTACACGCTGTTGCGTTTAAAAATTGAGCCATAAAAATAATATTTAGTCATCAAATTGGATTACGGCCTTCGGAATAAAAAAATAATAGCTGCATATTCATGCAGACTAAATGCGATGTCGTGTCAGCGTGAAAATTATATGAATGACGCACGAATTTGTCCGGCGAACTTCCGTATAGCTTCGCGCAATTATTAGACAAACAAAGTGATGGAATATACAATGTACGAGGAGGGAGATCGCGTATAGTTTCTCAATAAAATATACTCGCGCTATAATGACCACGTGATGTAGCAGAATTTCGCCCGGTTGTCGTTTAAAGCGCTTGGCAAATTCCTAAATCGTGTTGCCGCGTTCGTGTCGTTCGTGTCGCCTCGCATCACGTTCGCATCAAGTTCGCGTTTACTTCACACCTATACAGGAAATGAGCGAACTAATCGTCGTCGTCGTCATCGTCACGGTGTGACAAATCGCTCGCGGACACACGCACACGTGTGGTGGGGAAATGTCGCACGGCGCGTCAACAATAGTGATTAAAATTACGATTACGACGCGAATGTGTGTAATTCGCGATGGTTTTTTTACCCGCTGACCGTCCCACGATTTTACGGAGATCAGGTGGAACTAGCTAGGTGTACTCCGCGCCGGTTTATAATGTCGACGCGACGAGAAGACCGCCTCTTTTCGGTGGGACGCCTCGCGCCGTTTACATGCCTTTGCGGGGAACGTGAGTTTGTTTACACGAGGATGACGGCGCTAAATGTTGACGACTACCAGGAGACCGATCGTCAGTGAGCCTTCCTAATCTCTTCTAAATCTCTCTTTCTGTTCTAAAATCAGCTGAGTGAATCTTAATTTCGCGAGTTAATTTATACAGTCCGGGCACGACGTCAGTTTGCAAATGCTCCTTTTTTTCTTTCGCGTCTCTCCTTAATAGAGGAGGATTACCGCGATCGACAGCCCCCAGACACTCTCGTGATCGATAATTATCGTGTTCGTGCAAACCGATAAATTTATTTCGGGTCTCTCGATTTCAACATGATCTGATTTATTTAAAATTATACCGATTGCGAACGCCGCAATTGAATATCCCTCGATTACGCTGTCCGTTCTGTGGGATTTTACTTAACATGTGTCGATGGGTCGACAGCCGGCTTGAAGGCGCCCGTCGGTCAGACGGACAAGAAAGGCATACCCGGCGGAGTGCATGGAAATGGATCTCTCTCCAGCGGCAGTTCTATAGTCACAATTTCGTCGGACGCCGTCTTGGATCCCGACGCGGAGCGACGTAAGGATCCAAGCGGCCACGGGGACAACAAGGACATCAGGAACGAGAGGTGGTATCACACGATCCTACAGGTGTCGGTACCGTTTTTGATCGCTGGTCTGGGTACCATCGGCGCCGGTCGTGTCCTCACCATCGCGAAGGTAAGGGCCCTCCCCGAGGAAGACGCCGCGATGTTGTCTCGATTAAAAAAAAAAGACTCGAGTGACTCAATCAAACATTTTTCACCTCTTTATCGTTTTCTTTTTTTGATAGAGATATTTGCTCACGTCCCCGAAGATAGAATACAATAGCTTACCTATTTATCGAAGATATTTATCGAAGACGGTGAAATTGATATACATACATACAGGGTGTCTCATACTCAATGGTACAGCGCTTGTGGGCAGGTAGTGTGGACCAAACTGAACAAAAAAGTCCTTTATTAATTTGCGATCTTCGCAATAATTATCGAGATACTAATCATTTTAAAAAAAGAAAAAAATTTACATAATGGCTAAGCTTAACTATGATTCTATCATTTTAATAACTTTAAGTCTGTTTTACGAAACTTAAAGTTATTCGGAAAGACAATGGCATTAAACTTTTGCTGCATATAATTTTGAATAATTTAAACGATTTATTAAAAACATATTTTTCTGGTTTGGAATAAAATATTTTTGTCCCCACTCTCTATGTCTAACCAAATACTTGGCAATTTGTGTGATCTCATATTTGTTTTTGGACAACTTTTATTTGTTAAAATAATATTTTTGATTTAGATAAGATGTACCTAATGTACGATACACTTGGCGTAAATTTTTTTTTAATGATTAACATTTCGATAACTATTGCGAAGATCGCAAAATGGTAGAAGATTTTTTTGTTCAGTTTGGTCCACACTACCTCCCCACAAGCGCTGTACCATTGAGTACGAGACACCCTGTATATATATGTATAAATGTATATATATATCGAAATTGATATATTTTCCCCTCAATATTTACCGATGCATTTTATCGGATAGCGCGATGTAGGATACAGTGTCGCTCTTACAAGCGCTGACGCGGCTGCATAAACACCTTTGAGTGCCGTTTCACATTTTTAATATTGATCTCACGTATAGATCGTCGGGCGGAGATTACGGGCGCGATCGCGGTGGGTTCCGTCGAAGAATTTATCCTCTCTCAATCATTTGATTAGCTGCGAACAAAATAATCAAGTCGTTATCGCGGGTTCATACATAGGATAATAATCTCGAAGCCTTCTTCTCTAAAAACGAACGGATGTGACGGTGTCGACTCGTCAACAATACCATGTTTATCATGATAAGAATAAGTAACGCGTTACACACACCGTGCGTCTCGAACTGTTTGTCTAGCATTCTTTAATCTATATTTTTCGGTTTTACACGGTAATCAAAATGTTAGATAAATTTACTTTGTATAAAACGAAGATATAATACGTTACCGTTAAAATCCGAATTCACTAGATAAAATTAGAATGGTTGATTAAACCGTAAAATCGAAAACCTATGTGGACAGTACAATTATAGATTTCGTTTTGCTCCGTAAACAGGGAAGGGGGACCTCGTTACGCGTGGAAAGTCGAAAACCCGAAACAGTATAATTATAGATCGATCGTTTCAACTAAATTTAAAACTAATTTTAACTAGTAAAACAGGATTTTAACGATTATGGGATTGACGGTAACATATATAAAAAATATACCACATACGAAACGAAGGGTAAATAGGAATCAAAGCGCTGGTGTTGGTGCGCAAAGAAATATTTAATGCAATAATTTAATATAACATATAAAAACGTACTTAGATCAAAGTTGCGACGGTAGTTAACACGCGCACTGCTCCTGTTATTTTATTCAGTTATACAAATATTTTTTGTTCTGATGTATATTTCGCGTGCTCTTTTGCATATTCTATCCAGCTTTCTAACTGGCTTGCGATAAATGCCCTTCATCTACGGGTTTCTGAGTAACCACACTGAAAGAACAATTTTGCTGAATCCAGATCTAAAAATAACTTTTGTTCAATAATCAAAATAATTTTGTGCGAAAATCAAAATGATTGCTGAAATATTAAAATGTTTTATAGCAATGCTTATCAGTTTTAACATTTCAACAAATTATTTTAATAATGCAATAAAAAATTAATTTTACATCTGTTTTTAGCAAAATTTTTAAACCTTTCAACAAAATTGTTCTTTCCGCGCACCTAGCGGCGAATTACACGATATTTTATCATATTGGTATATTGATCAGTGCGGAGTTGTTGAAGTTTTTTTGGAGGATTTACGCGTCTAAATGTCATTAATTGTACTAAGAAGAATTGTTATTGCTGAAGAAGGCTAAAAAATAGTCGAAACGTACGTTTTTTTATATGTTATATTAAATTATTGCATTAAATATTTCTGTACGCACCGACACCAGCGCTTTGATTCCTATTTACTCTTTGTTTTACTTGTTGTTTTATCATAAGGTGAATCTTATTACTTTTTAATATACCACACATATACAGGGAATGATTACTTTTCAAAAGTAACTAGTTATCGTTTCTCGTTACCGAGTTAAAAAAATAACTAGTTACCGTTACTATAGTTACACTTTTTTAAAATAACTCGTTATCATTACACGGAGAGAATTTTTTTTTTAATTTACTCTGAAAATCATGTTAATTGTGGGACAATATAGTATTTCCGCAAATTTTACTGTGCATTACAATAAATTTTACTGTACACTACAATAAATTTGTTATAGTATATATTATATTTAAAAAAATAATGAAAATCACATAAAATTCGTTGAAATACTATATTGTCCTATATGATTAACATGATTTTACTATTCCGTTACTTTTTTAATGCTAAAACAGGATCAATCTAAATAATTTAAGATGCAATTTTTTGTATATATAAAAATACAACTAGGAAAATGAAAGTCTTTTTAATATGAGCTAGAGCTTCCAACTTCGTGCTTAATATTTCGAAATAAATTTATATAATATATATACATATCCAATTTTATAAGCTACGCGCCAGTTAAGTTTTCGATCTTGAAACGCAATTCAGCTGATATTTTTCACAATAAATTTTTTAAAGTATTTTAAGATGCATATATAACGTAAAAATATCTTATTAAAGTACTCGTCAATTTAAATTGTGATATTAATTGACTTATGGCATTCTTAAGATGTCATAAATCAATCACAGAGTTATATTAATATTTTAAGACATTATTTAAAACAGCTCTTAAAATAAGAATAAACTATGTGAATACTAGCTAAAAACTGAAGATTGAATGTACATACGAAAATTTTGTCATAAATGCAAAAAGTTCAAAATACAAAAAGTAACGATAAAAGTAACTGTATAATTTGTAACCATTACCAAAAAAATGTAACTACGTTACCATTACAGTTACCAAAAAGAAAAAAGAATAGCGTCGTTACTAAAAAAAAGTAACTGTAACGGTAACTTATACAAGTAACGAGTTACTTCCAATCCCTGCTCATACATAGGTATTCTAATCTCAACGTATTTGTTTTCAGAATATGCCTGCTTTCATTGAAGTCCCCCAGCTACTGATTCTGACTACGGCACTGCAGGGTCTGAAGGGTAATCTCGATATGTGCTTGGCGTCGCGGCTGTGCACCCAGGCGAATTTAGGCAACATGACCAGCCGGCGGGAGATCATCAAGATGATCGTCGGGAACATCGCCCTGGTGCAGATCCAGGCGATTGTCGCGGCCTGCTGCCTGTCGCTGTTCGGCATGGGGGTGGGCGCGTTCAATGGGAACGGCTTCGACTGGGATCGCGCCCTGCTGCTGGCGGTTTCGTGCATGTGCACGGCGACCAGCTCCTGCTTCATCTTGGGTAAGCCGTCCTCTCGCCGGGCTGTTAAACGCTTATTAAAACGTCGACTAATGCACGCCTCTATACACGCTACGCTCTCACGAATTGACACACCCTCGGAGGCAGGGCTGGGCATATTTCAAATACTTGTATTTGAAATACAGTATTTGAAATACAATTTGTATTTTGTATTTTGTATTTCAGCGGAACACATAAAAGTATTTTGTATTTTGTATTTCAAATAAATTATTCAATGTATTTTG